GGGGGGGGGGGGGGGGTCTAATGTTTTCGCCCCCACCTTCGCTCCACTGTAGCTACTGACCTGTTCGATGAGCAAAAGAATTAGTCAAATTTCCAAAGATATCAACCAAAATATTCCAGAGCATTCACTGTGGACCGACTTAAACAGACATGCAGACATTGGTGCCTACAATAAAGAGCCATATAGGATTAGCAAATTGGCCATACCAAGAAGCAAGATGTTTTCCTCAGACTTTCATGTATTCAAAAATCTGTATTAATTTCAATGGATTTGTAATGTATAACTTTATATTTCGAGAAGACTATAAGTTGGTTCTTTTCTTGGAAAACTGGTACCGATTTTTAATTTTTAATTTTTGGTTTCTTTTCTAGTTCCGTGTTCTATGATCATAAAGCGAAAAATGGAAAAATCATTCTCAAATCAAAACTTTCTGGAAGAAGTCTTGCAATATAATATTCTCTCTGGTTGTTGGCTAAATTCAAAGGCATTATAAACTATTCAAGAGTACTGTATACATAGTGAAGAAATAAATAAAAGCTCGTACCATAATTCGAAGAAAATTAATCAGCAAGGACACGTATACAGCTTGGTAACGGATTCGCCTGCACCTAAAACAAACTAAACGTTATACAGTCCTAGTTGCGGTTGAGGTGATTCGCGCGATGTCTAATGATCTTCTGATCTACTGCTGCAAAGCGTCTAGAACCTAAGTGAAATAAAGAGCATGGTAGCACGATGTGGTTTGGAGAAAATTTAGTGTTATCTATTATACTTCTGGTTTTAGTCAGGCACAGGCCGTTACAAACTAAATAGAAAAAGCAAAAAAAAAAATAAAACTCACAGATATACAGCCTCTGTGAAGTGTCTGAAAACGGAATCTTTTTCTAGATTTCGATGAGAGCTAGAATTCTGGGAAAATTTGGTCTGTGATTCGCTTTTTAACACGAGCCGACTTATTTTACCCAAAATAATACTCATTCTGAACTTATGGTTCGATGTGAATTCGTTGTAGAAATTAATGAGATCTCAAAGTGCGGGGAATTAAACATATGGAATAGGAGGTTCGTAATGGTCGATTTTTATAATAAGATTTGTGGTGGACTTATATATATAACCAATATTATATTACATTATTTCTTGAAAACTCATATAATGAACACAAAATATTCCAACCACTCGCTACAATGGAACTAAACACGTTTTGAAAAACAATACATCAATCAAGAGTAGGAATTTTAACGTTAAGTCAGTGTTTTGACTTGTAAGTAGAAATCCCCGATTGCAAACTGAAAAATTTAGAGCCGTTTGATAGACGATCAAAATGTGTATTTATAAGTTATACCTAATGATAACAATTGTTGTACAACTCCGCCAGTATCCATGTTATACTTGCAAATCGGAGTGGAATGTGTTTGAATATCCCGAATGTCCAGGTAAATTTCCCGGATATGATGTAGCTGACAAATCGAAAGTAGACGTTAACAACATATTTCGTTGCATGTATATGGCCTCAAAGAGTCGTGACGCCCTAGCAATCATGTACAACACAAAAAGTAAATTATGTTGTTTCCTCCATAGTATGCCTCGCAGCTGCAACCAAATGAACAGCCAATTATCCAATGACGATAGATTTATGTATAGAACTGATCAGAGACCGAAGTCAAACTACAGACAGCCTTTAAAGTAATCATTCCATTGTTAATATTCACATTCCTAAGGTTCGAAACTATATAATTATTTAAACTATATCAAATAATTTTGTATTGTTCTTTACGAACCTATTATTGTGTTGTGAACAAACCCTTGGTAAACGTTAATGTTTTTCTTACTATTCTTTACGAACACCAGGACAACGTAATGTATTGTGTCGCGAGATATTACACCTGGTCAACGTCAATGTGTTGTAGCGAGATATAATTTATTTAATTTGTGTTTTGTTATTTACGAACACCGGGACATAACGAGCTAGGTTTGATTGGTAGGATAGGAACATAATTTGAGCATTTGCATTCTATTCTTCTGAAAGAGTCAATCTGGATTTTTACTGAAAATATCAGCTTTGTAGCTAACATAGTTTGAAAATTAAGGATGTATTTCGATTCTAGCCAGGTAGCCTGTGGAATACAAGGAAATATTGCTTCAGTTTTCTACGCTAAAACTTTTCATCTCCCAATAAAGATATCTAGGATACATTTAAGTCTGAAGCTGGAATCTGTCGCAACTTAAATTGCTATAGCATTTTTGTGAAAAAGAAATTACTTATTCAGATATATGTGTAAAATGAAATGAAATAGAGTTTTACGCCCTACTTTTAGATATATGTGTAAGCAAAGCTCCAACAAACTATCAACTCAACGTATATTAAAAGGGAGATAACTACGATAATCATCGGGTGATTCAGAAAAAAACCAACAAAACGTGGTCTATTCCACGGCGTTAATCTCATCTTTGGAGGGGGTTGGAGGGGCAAGGGTGATCGGAAATTCTTGTACCTTGGCGAAAAACTGGAGGCAAAAAAGTCAAACTTTGGGGGGCTGTTACTTTGGAACCAAGTGGGATACAGCATCCTGGATTATGTATGATTTGTATCCGTCACAGGCCTGCCTTCATATTCAAAATTATGTAGGCTAAAAATCTTATTTCCTACTGCCTAGCTAGCCTGCGCTTAAATTAAGCACATATTACTCACTTCCGGTGTGTCCATTGCCGTTTAAACCACACCCCTTCAATAAATAGAGATAATGATTATTTTCGTACATTTTGAAGAGATTATGCAAGAAACTCACTCAAAAGAAGTTTGGCTTTAAATATTCCCACCCTATTGTTTTCAACAAAAATACTTATCTCTTCGAGCAAACTGGTAATAAAAACTGATAAAGTTTTATATAGTTGGTCATAATTGGAAATAGTTGGAAATTTATTCGCGCCTGGTCAAGTTTTCAGAACACTTCAAACTCGTTGGTTTTATAGTGTATACTCCCTTAAAGGGAAATTCCGCTTTTTTGTAGATCGAAATTTGTTTATTTGCTCAAATTTGTAAAAACTCTACACCAAAACCAAGAGAAATAATAAAATGAAACGAATCTAAAATACCAACCAACAAACTTGCTCAGACAATTGAAATGGGCCCTTATGCGTCAAATAAAATTAAGATTAAGATTATTCAATTTTATTCTTTCCCTAAACAATAACTGTTTTCAATAATTTTACATTTTAAGAAAACTTTGGAGAAAATCGATTTTGAAGTTCTACACGAATTCACAAGAGGAAAATCGCTGCCCTGGAGAAACTATCAGGGATAGAAAGCTGCAATTTGCACTGCAGGTGCCAAGTGGTTGGAAGTTGCTGTTTCAAATTTCAAGTTCTTACCCTGAAAACTCTGCAAGTTACAGCACTTTTGGTCTCAAACTTTTTCCCCAAACCAAAAATATGCGATTTTCCTCTCGAAATTTCGAGTGGAACTTCAAAGTCGATTTTCTCGAAACAAAATGCGAATTTCTGTTTTCGACTGAAATAGATAGCAGACATTTTACACTTTCCTTTGCAATAAAAATTATACCTCTAGGGTCAAAATTGGCGAAGTTTTGGCCATTTTAGAGAGGGGGTGGGGGTCGGCAGTCCGCCTATAGAGTCTTATAGTACTGGCAGGGGTAAAGGCCAAAATTTTAACAAACTGCCGTTCGAAAACTGTCAGAGATGTAAAGTTGAAATTTGCACTGAAGGTACAAACCCATCTGAAGTTGTTGTGTTCCAAATTTCAGCTTCCTATTTTAAAAACTCTACCAGTTACAGCACTTTTGGTCTCAAATTTTTTCCCCAAGCCAAAAAATATGCGATTTCCCTCTCGAAATTTGGGGTGAAACTTCAAAGTCGATTTTCTCGAAACTGAAATAGATAGCAGACATGTTAAACTTTCGTTTGCAATAAAAATTATGCCTCTGGGGTCAAAATTGGCGAAGTTATGGCCATTTTAGTGAGGGGTGGGAGTCGGCAGTCCGCCCTTACAGTCTTAGTACTGGCTGGGGTGAAGGCCAAACCTTTAACAGGCTGCCGTTCGAAAACTATCAGAGATGTAAAGTTGAAATTTGCACTGAAGGTACACAACCATCTGAAGTTGTTGTGTTCCAAATTTCAGCTTCCTATCTTGAACACTCTGCCGGTTACAGCACTTTTGGTCTAAAAAAATTTCCCCAAACCAAAAAATATGCGATTTTCCTCTCGAAAATTTGGGGTAAAACTTCAAAGTCGATTTTCTCGAAACTTTTACCAAAATGCGAATTTCTGTTTTCGACTGAAATAGATAGCAGACATGTTAAACTTTCGTTTGGGATAAACATTATAACTCTGGGGTCACAACTGGCGAAGTTATGGCTATTTTAGTGAGGGGGTGGGGGTCGGCAGTCAGCCTATAGAATCTTATAGTACTGGCTGGGATGAAGGCCAAAACTTTAACAGGCTGCCGTTCGAAAACTATCAGAGATGTAAAGTTGAAATTTGCACTGAAGGTACACACCCATCTGAAGTTGTTGTGTTCCAAATTTCAGCTTCCTATCTTGAAAACTCTACCAGTTACAGCACTTTTGGTCTCAAATTTTTTCCCCAAACCAAAAAATATGTGATTTTCCTCTCGAAATTTTGGGTGGAACTTTAAAGTCGATTTTCTCGAAACTTTTTCCAAAATGCGAATTTCTGTTTTCGACTTAAATAGATAGCAGACATGTTAAACTTTCGTTTGCAATAAACATTATACCTCTGTGGTCAAAATTGGCGAAGTTATGGCCATTTTAGTGAGGGGTGGGGGTCGGCAGTCCGCCTATAGAGTCTTATAGTACTGGCTGGGGTGAAGGCCAAAACTTTAACAGGCTGCCGTTCGAAAAGTATCAGACAAAGATAATGTAAATGAATCAATCTCTTAATTCCCACTTGCTGGGGCCAAGCCCCCACAGACCGAACTCTAACGACGGTGCTGGATCTCCATCTTCTTCGGCCACCGATTGCAACCGTTTTTCTATCTCGAGATGCTGTTACGGATCTCATCTAAGGGTAGGCCTATCTGCTCCCAAACGTGACTATTCTGCCTTTCAATTCCTATTCAGTCAGTTTGTCCCGCTAACCCCGGTACACCTTTTCCTTCAGAGAATCCCAAATAGCATAATCCATTGGATTACAGTCTTGTGAATTAATTCTGGTGTAGCCTCCTCCAGATATGCTTTGGATACCTTGCTAGAATGCGATGAGGTCCCGTCTTGTTCTCATCTGTGAGAATTTTGAAAGATCTGTTGACCAACAGCTGAGTTACTACCTGTTGAACTTTGGGACACCCCATATAACACTTATTATGTTGGTTTTTTTTTACATTTTTAATTCCATTTATGGAGACTTTATCCGTGATATTTATTTATATCTTGATTTTATTCATAACTGTGATATTACATTTCATATATTGTATTGTTTACTAGTGTATTGTTTATTCTATTTTGACGAAAAAATATCTAAAAGATATAAAAGAAAGCACTTTCTCGTCAACTTGGAGGTCGCGGGTTCGAATCCCATTTGAAGTCTTTTGAAAAATTCTTTATTTGTGCATTCGAACACTGTCTTTTCTACCATTTTAAATATACAGTTGGGGTTAAAGCTCTATGTTGACAGCCAATATTGTATGACATTATAATACGACATACATAATACATTATATGACGACATTTATTTATTTGTAAAACATTGTTAACTTACTGTGTTTGTATATATAGAACTGTAATGTACTTATATAAGTACTATCATTAATATTAAATATGCCGTTCAGAGCATTCATTCTTTTCAATAATGATTTTTTTAAGTGAGCATTGTTACCAAACTTTGTGAGAGAGCCGCGAGGCAGGACAACCGAACATATTTTAATCGTTTACTTAAAGGTGTCGGTTGTACTTGCACTGGTTTTTGAAGACACTAACCTCTTCAAATGCTTATGCCAGATCTCTCTTTTACCTTCACAGCAATCCATCTTCACATTGTTAATATATTACGGACTATGTCTAATATTTGATGGACTTTGTAATAACTTTAATAGACAGAGTTCGTAATGGCTTGACATTGTGAAGATGACAACACAGTACTGATTGTGAATGACTAAGTTTTAAATGATGGTTAACATCCAAATAGTCGAGGCCAATGACTTCTTCATAGACATTGGTCTAGACTATCTTATGGCCCAATGACAAATATTTATTCAGTATAAAAGGCATTGTACGTTGGGCATGGATTCAGAGTGTTATGCCCCTCAAAAAATCATGTTAATAGAGCTTTTTGTCTTATCTTTAATCGGCTCTCCAGTTGTATGAATGGGAAGTTATCAATATTGCAATGCTGGTTTACGGTTATAGTGCAATTGGAGAATTTATATCAGGACTGAGCTTTCCAGTTTCAGGGTTTCAGTTCTTAGTTCTGAAGTAATTTAACATGGTGGTGAATGGCAGAAAATATGTTGGGGAAATGGATCTGGGGAAGTGATCATAAGAAGAGAAGTACTTGTCTATCGAGACAACTACACCTCGGACACATAGCCTGTGGTCGAATAAACCACAGAGTGGAAATCAGGTTTAATTCTGAAAAGTAACACTGATAGCTAAAATGGAGTTCTTTCAGTTAGTAAACGAAATATGCAGATTTAAAACCCATATGCATATTTCAAGAAAACAGGTACAACTAATATTTTCAAAGGTTTTAATATACTAATAATATAATTTGAAATCTCAACAAGAAAATATCATAGAAGGATAAAGAACAAATATAGAGTCATTAACAATTAAAGGATTCTTCATTTTGGGCATATCATCCATTTGCACCATTTCAATTTTCAGTCAGACGTCTGTGATTAATGCAATTCCACTTTAATTATGCGTTTTATGACGTCACTAGCGCAAAAGCTGCTATTGATATATAGAAGAATCTTTGGGCTAGTGACGTAATAAAATGCCTAGTCTTAGTGGACTTGCAGAACCACACACGTCTGAATGAAAATTGGAATGGTGCAAATTGATGCTATCAGTGTCTCCAATACACATAGTTAGAAAATGTTGTAAAGAAATTGAAGAAAAAAAAAATTTCTATCATGTCATGAAAGTAAATACACACATGCCATTATTTATGTTTGGTTCTGGGTTCATATTAATTCACTGAAAATAATAATGAGGTCTGTCAAGGGAATGTAGAAGAAAAAAGAAAATCAAAGACAAGTAGAAACCAAAAGGCAGATCTAGAGCAACTTAAACAATTACAAAATGAAAGAAAAAAAAAAACAATATATTTTCCTATTAGTTCCACCTACTTTTATAACTTTATATTTAAAAAGAAGAGAGAATGATATGCAGGGGAATTATTAGATTAAACATAGTATTTTAAAAGACAAAGAGGTTGATATGCAGGGAAATTATAAGAGAAAAAGAGAATGTTATGCAGGGGAATTATTAAAGATAAAGACATTGATATGCAGGGGAATTATTAAAGATAAAGAGATTGATATGCAGGGGAATTATCAAAGATAAAGAGATTGATATGCAGGGGAATTATAAGGGAAAGATATTGATATACAGGGGAATTATAAGGGAAAGACATTGATATGCAGGGGAATTATTAAAGATAAAGAGATTGATATGCAGGGGAATTATCAAAGATAAAGACATTGATATACAGGGGAATTATTAAAGATAAAGAGATTGATATGCAGGGGAATTATCAAAGATAAAGAGATTGATATGCAGGGGAATTATTAAAGATAAAGAGATTGATATGCAGGGGAATTATTAAAGATAAAGACATTGATATGCAGGGGAATTATAAGAGAAAGATATTGATATACAGGCGAATTATTAAAGATAAAGAGATTGATTTGCAGGGGAATTATTAAAGATAAAGACATTGATATGCAGGGGAATTATTAAAGATAAAGATATTGATTTGCAGGGGAATTATCAAAGATAAAGAGATTGATATGCAGGGGAATTATTAAAGATAAAGAGATTGATATGCAGGGGAATTATTAAAGATAAAGAGATTAATATGCAGGGGAATTATTAAAGATAAAGAGATTGATATACAGGGGAATTATTGAAGATAAAGAGATTGATATGCAGGGGAATTATTAAAGATAAAGAGATTGATATGCAGGGGAATTATTAAAGATAAAGAGATTGATATGCAGGGGAATTATAAGAGAAAGATATTAATATGCAGGGGAATTATTGAAGATAAAGAGATTGATATGCAGGGGAATTATAAGAGAAAGATATTGATATGCAGGGGAATTATTGAAGATAAAGAGATTGATATGCAGGGGAATTATAAGGGAAAGATATTGATATACAGGGGAATTATTAAAGATAAAGAGATTGATATGCAGGGGAATTATCAAAGATAAAGAGATTGATATGCAGGGGAATTATTAAAGATAAAGAGATTGATATACAGGGGAATTATAAGAGAAAGATATTGATATACAGGGGAATTATTAAAGATAAAGAGATTGATATGCAGGGGAATTATTAAAGATAAAGAGATTGATATACAGGGGAATTATTAAAGATAAAGAGATTGATATGCAGGGGAATTATAAGATAAAGAGATTGATATGCAGGGGAATTATTAAAGATAAAGAGATTGATATGCAGGGGAATTATAACACCAAACACAGTATTTAAAAAGACAAACAGAATAGTTCTGGGAACAAACCAAATATTTTTAAGGACAAACAATTATGTATAAGGGACTATATCTGGAGACAAACAAAAAATTGCTAGAAACAAACATAATTTTTGGGGAACAAACAAAATATTTATTGGGACAAAAAGAATATTTCAGTGTACAAACAGACAATATTTTGGGACAAACAGGATAATTCGGTGGACAAACAGAATATTTATATAGGGACAAACAGAATAAAAAAACATACAAAAATTGTGCTGGACTAGAATCACTAATTGGCGTGTAAAATATATATTATTGCATAAGCTTGATAAATATAGGCCTACATGTATAGATAATATCATTTAATTTTTATAAATTTAGTTTAAAAAAGTCTAAAATGTTATGGCACAGATGAAAAATCTCGAATTTCAAAAATAAATATCTTCTTGTCATCATAGAATGATGTTCCAAGTTTGCAATAATACAAAAATCCTACTTTATCATAAAAAAGAGAAAAACTAATTAATTAACTTTCAGGAAAATAAATTCTAAAACTTTGTAAGCTGAGAGAATAACTAATTGAATCAGTTTGAATTAATTCTAAATCATGACAATGAAATCACTATCATCTGAGCAAGTTTGTTTAGTACATCAAATTTTGTCCATTTTACTTATATGAATTTGAATATAAGCTTCAAAACCGTACTGATTATGACTTTGTGTTGATGAACATATAAACTTTTTTAGAAATATTAAAACAGAACCTAAAAACACATGTAGTTGCTTAAAGTTTCACGCTAAGCATTCTTCTGATAAATGACCTATTTAAGCCTGGGTCCCTACTGAAGTTGGACAAGTAGAACTTTTTCTTATGTTTGCAGTTCAGAACATTAATATGTTGACATTGAAAAGAAAAAAACTTCCCCCCAGAAATTTCACCTGAAAATGTCCAAAATTTTGACTGAAAACAGTCCTCTGTAAAAACAAATTTCAAGGTGATATTGTGTGCTCACTGTAAAAGTCATACTAAGAATATCAGTATTGTTTTGAAGCTTTTATTCAAATTCTCTTTAATAAAATGAGCAAAATTCGATATACCAATGAACTTGCTTAAACAACAGTTGCTCATATCCAAATATCAGGATATAATTCATCTTCACAGTCACAGATTATAGGGATGTAGCTGTCTCATTATTCTCTAGTTATAGAGACCATTACATTTTCAGAATGGAAAACAACACCTGGTTTGTCTGCAATTAAACAGACAGCTGTGACCTGTGAAGTGATGACAGAATCATTGCAATATAGACTATTAATATTACATTCAACTGAGCTGACTGAATTATTCCCTGTTATTCATTTGCTCGATGAGACCTGACACTGAAATATATATTGGAAATTTAAAAACAATTCCAAACCAGCTGGACTGATGAGTATTTTATATCTGAAACGTATGTCGACAGCATCAGATGAAATCAAATCAATAAGATAGATCAAACCAAACAGAATTAATATTAGCTGAAAATTACCAGTACACTTAACCACAATCCAAAATAGACATTGCCATTGATGAATAGGTTGTCTATAGGAAGAGGATTAATATGTCAAATTGCAGTCTGATTAAATGTCAATAATTTTGATTGATTGGAAACAAAAGGATTTTGTAGATATCCTCTATAAATAGATAGATAAGATATTTCATATTATTTTGTCCGCAATCAAAACCTTTTATTTTTTTGCTATATTTTGGCTTCCTAATTTTCAAAATTTGTAATTATATGAAATTTTACCCAAAAAAAAGGTTTAACTTTTGACAAAGTTTGAATTTAAGTTTTTTTTTTAAACTATAAAAGAGAAAAGTCAACTTACAATAAAATTTAAACTTTTTTTTAATTTTTTTTTTTTTTTTTTTTTTAACAATTTTTAAAATATAGTCTAATATTTTATATTATTTGTAAGGTCAATAAAAAAAAACACGACCCAGTTGTGACCACTGTTTTCAAACTTTTGGACTTTTTGATTTGAAATTGAACAAGGCTTTAAATTCTTTAAATAATTGAGTGCCCTTAACAAACAATGTACACATACTTAGAGGTCTGTGGTTTGACTTGTTGGGGCTTTACTTTCATATTCCTTTGAGGTGACATGGTGATCTTTTGATTTTTCAGTGCATTTTATGAAGGTGTAAACTTTGCATATCTGAAATGAAAAAAAGATTGGACATTGTCAAAATAAAGTATATTTAGCTGTAAGTATTTGAAATAAAGATGGAATATTGGTGGGTTACTGGGTATCAGGAAATGAAGATGGAATATTGTTGAGTATTATGAAATGAAGATGGAATATTGTTGAGTATTTTGAAATGAAGATGGAATATTGTTGAGTATTGTGAAATGAAGATGGAATATTAATGAGTATAATGAATTGAAGATGGAATATTGTTGAGTATTGTGAAATGAAGATGGAATATTGTTGAGTATTGTGAAATGAAGATGGAATATTAATGAGTATTATGAATTGAAGATGGAATATTGATGGGCTTTAAGAAATAAAGTTGGATATAGCACAGTCGATTAGAGTGTTGGTTCTTTACATGATGTCATTTTCTTGGTTACGTCAAGCGAATGGCGGCTGTGGGTTTTAATTTGACCCACCTGTAAATGGGTACAGATAACCCGGGAAAGATCAATGCCACGAGGTTTGGCAAAAGACCAGCTGGTAGAGAGGATCCTTAACTATGAACCCAAGTTGTAAAACATAGTTTTCTTTAATAGGTGTAAGGTATTTTGATGGGTAACAAATATAAAAAATAATACGTTAAAACCCATTATCATTCTATTTTTATCATTTCCATACCATCAGAAAGATCGAGATAATTACCTACCATAACGAGAGCAATAATGATTCCAAGAATACTGCCACCCAAAACATCACTCCAATGATGCTTATAGTCTGAGATTCTAGACATACTAATATAATAAGCTATACAGAATAACATTGTCTGTAGCAATGGTTTCATTAATAACAATCCTCTCCATGTAAACCTCACTTCTAGATATATCTAAAATTAGAAAAGAACAATGTTCTTCTGCACTACATGATTAACAAAGCAATGAATGCCCACCTTTCTGAAAATCACAGACGTCTGACGTAAAATTGGAATGGTACAAATTGATGTTATTAGTGTCCCCACTTAAAAAATTTATAAAAACTCTTTAAATTCCTTTAACTATGATAAGCATTAGAAGGGGAAAAATTCTGCAAATGGGAAAGGTTTTATTGCTAAGTTGACCTTGAACTACATGTCATACTTGCCATATAACATTTTATAACTCAATTGATAAATTTTTGTTGTTGTTGAATAGCAAACATAAATTGGCACAGACAATTCAAATCGTAAACAAGAATAGTTCATTTCTTTGTAGTTGAAAATAGACTTGAATACCATAGAAGTCCGGCTTATATAGTTTCAATAACAATAAATTTTCCCCTTTCAAAATGAACTGCATGGGCTTATCTTTGGAAACACCCCTTGATGTGTTAAAATATTCCAATCTTTTATTAAGGAGACTTACCAAAGCATACATCATGGTATAAGTGATCATAGATGCATGACCTGATGGAAATGATACCCTGAAATTTCAAAACTCAGAATAAAATATCAATAAAAAGCATTTTTTTGTTGGTAAAAATTATTTCTGGGTTATTTGGAAAGTTGCTATTATGGGTGTCTGCTCATAGGGGCAAATGAAGTCACCTCTTCCCCTTGAAAAATGAATAAAAATCTCAAAAGCCAAACCTGAATAAAACTCATCCCTCTAACAAAATTTTGTGAATGACCTTGGTTGATAATTCAGTGCTGGTTCAGGGATTGGAAAGGGGTTTTCTAAATTCTTTATGTGTATCAGAGACACTTATCAATTTGCATCATTCCAATTTTCAATCAGAAGTCTATGGTTCCAACAATTCCACTAAAACTAAGAGTCCTTATGTGATAACAGCATATGTTTGATTAGTCATCAACCCCTTAGTTTAAGAGACGTCGAAAATCGGAATGATGTAAATTGATGCAATCAGTGTCCCAGATAAACAAAAATTTTTTAGGAAACCTTATTACAATAATAAAATCTTACCTGGCTTCTTTGATTAGCTTCAAATTTCCAGTGCAGACATTTTCTTCAATAATACCCATACTGCAGTTGAACAACGCATAATCTGGTTGACAAACAGTCAGGAAATGTGGCCTTAATCGACCAAGAGTATATTTTGCTATATTTGTTAATAAATGATTTAAAGCTGCACCAAAGAAGAAAAATATCAAAATAGGAAGCCACATTTTTACCCATTTTGTTAAAATGAGCCTCTGGTAGTTGGCAGATTTTGCAATTTTCTGTTTGCAAACTATAATCAACTCAACAATCAAAACCTGAAATACAAAAATACCATTAAGGTCACATATACCCACGCCCACACAGTTACATTTTATTTCAACCAATTATATCTTCAGATTTAGATGGGGTTGCTCAGTCTCCTTACTTTCGATTGTATGTGAATACTTTTAAAAGAGATCCTCCCCACTAGCAAAGTTTCCCCTCTCTTAGTCTTTAAAATCCAAATCAGGAGCAAAAGAGTATGACAAAAAACTCCATTTTGTATCATTTCAACATTGATATAATGCAAAACATACATACGGTTACTATTGGTATACTAAATCCAACACAATATAAAACAGTGACTTTCACTGTACTTGATTTGTATGGATGTAGTAAACTTTCATCATAACAAAAAAATCCACGTTGAAATGGGGTAAGTGTTTGCCTCAAAGTTATTGATATAGCTGCAACTGAAAAGGTAAAATATCAATGTGAAAGTTGTTCCTAAACCTAAGGAAAGAAAAATTCAAACTAAAAATTGTATATTTCCAGGACCAGGGGTTGATTAGTTGTTAGTAAATGACGAAAGCTTGAGATTCCAAATATATACTATTAACGATCACTTGTTATTAATGTGAGGTTTGTAAATTTGTAAAAAATATCTCTATTTTGATAAGATAAAACTTACTTAAAATGGCAACAATTATATCAAATACAGGCTTAATCAAGGAGATGAGTTGTCTGGACATTTTGTTCTAGTTGTCGATGTAAACAAGGAGGAAATGATCACACTTGCCACTCTAACATGTCTATAGTGACATTTCCGTTTGGTATCATCACAACATCGTTTGACAACATCAACACTTTACTTTCACTTTCTGACCTTACGAGATAATAATTGCGCATGAGCAAATTACAATTTTCTAAAAGTAATTGTTAGGAAGAGTAGTCGTTTAGACTATTATATTTATACTAAGAGTTTTACAAAATTTCGTTTTAAAAAAAATACACAACGAAATTACAATTCGTATGACAATTTTTGAATATTTGTGAAAAAAAGAAGGATCTTCAAAATTCATGATGATTTTGTATTTTTTTGCTGCAAATTTCAAAGACTTTCTTTTATAAGTAAATTAATTTATTTTCGTTTACAAATAAACATAGACATTTTTTTTCATAATCGTTATATTCTTCTCAAGGAGCTATCATTTTTGTCGCCTGCCTCATACTTCATTTCCGGTCCATGTGCTTTTTCAAGAAAAGCCTACAAGAAGTTCTAAACATCTAAAAGTTAAAAGTAAAAGAGTAAATATGTTCCGACAAATAGTAAATAAGGTGTGTAAGGCTTTTCGGAAAAAGGTTCACTTTTCACTGTTTTTCAAAGAATGTCCCTAACATGTGGAATAGAACAATCATCACGTCTACTCTGACTACAATACATTGACCTCTGCTGAATTGAATTTTTCTCTCATTTCATAAATATTCCAAATGAATTTTTTAAATGTATGCCATTTTTCTTCGAATGTTTTCGGGTCCCTAGAAATATATGGTTCAGAGATTTTACATTTAAATAGACACACTTCTCTCCAAGAAAATTAACATGAAAATGACATACTTTCGAGTTAGTGCAGTGGTCATTTATTCTTTCCTATATATTCAGTTCAAGATTCAGTGCCAAGGAAAGTAACAATTCTGTAACAACATGTAGATCTAATTTTCTTCTAGACACTAGATAGTAAAAGCAATTGTGTTTAAGTTTATTAATGACTTTAATTAATTTTGAGGATATAGATTCAAATCAATTTGGCATGATATAGGCCTAACGATCATGAAATTTGACATTTGGTTAGTTTTCATCCAGATATTTGGATATATTAAGTAAGCCTTTTATTTGCTTAATTTTCAGGCTTCAAGATTCACCAATGTGACATCTGAACAGTTATGCTCATTTTCTTCTTCCACATCTAAAAGCAGAAGATCAGGCAAGTGTATAGATTATGTTAAGATAACTACATATTTTTTTCAAAGGAATACTTCCTCATAGAGTGGACAATTTTTTTTTAATAAAGTCTCAAATTTAGTCCATAAGGGTATATTCATCAGTTTGAAAATTTGGCAAAGCCTAGCATCTATGTCAATCACATTCAAATAAGATTACAATTTCGTTTCATAATTTTTTTTCGTCGCTCTCCATTGTAATCTGACTAGATTTATACCAAGGTCAGGTACTAATGCAACCAATGACAGCACATCATGCAGAATCCCTGTCTAAATATCCACTATGATTTGTGGGATAGCAAAACCCAAAGTAGAATGATATGACCAATGAGACTGCCAATACTTGCTTGTGATTAATACTTCTATTTTGTTTTCAGATTTAAATCAAGTTCAGTTAATGGGAAATGTAGGAAAAACACCAGAATTGAAAATGAAAGGTCACGTTAGCTTTCCCTTAGCAAATCACTCCAATTTTAAAGACAAAAATGATGGTAAATAGTTTTTTTTTGTTGAATGGAGAGGAAAGAGATTCAGATTTTTGATCTGAAAAGTTAAATGTAAAAGCTGAAATTGGTGCATCGTATGACGAATATGGTCTTAATAACCCTTACACTGCAGTTTGTGGGCGTGGAAATGAGATTGGTTATTAGGATTTGCTGTTCATTTCAAATATGTTTATATTTTCAGAGTTTGTCCATAGAACAACATGGCTCAATGTAGTAGTTTCAAAACCATATTTAAAAGACTATGTCACAGAATATATTGAAAAAGGGTGAGAAAAATCAATTTTTGTAATGAGATATATTTATGTAATGTTAACAATTAACCAAAAATCTCATCCAAAGCATGAAAACATTTGAAGCAATAATTGTATACACAGTAGTAGGAGTCTTTTATGGCCAGGAATCAAATTTCGAATTTTGTCTTTATTACAGGGATCAAATATTTGTAACTGGAAGTATAAGAGCGAGTTCATATCAAGATGATGAGACAGAGAGAAGTATACAAGCAATTTATATTGTTGCAGGTAAGGAATAGATTTTAAGTTACCCCCTGTTTTAAGAGAAAAAAAGGTTATAGTCAACTTTATATTTGCTGTCCAAGCTGATATAGTTCAATTTCAGAATTTCAGCTTGCTTATATCTCTTTAGATTGAATTAAAAAATGAAATGTCAAAAGTACCAGCAATCCAACTGATATTTACGTGCTTCTTACAATGACATTTTTGCGCAATTTTGTCATTTTTTTGCATGGAAAAGTATATTTTTGGTGATTTTCATTTATTGAATCAGTTTGTTTTTATGTTATTAATCACAAAGTCATCATGGAATTTTATAATAAAGAAACTAATTTATCAGTTAAATGTGTTGCCAAATATAAAAATCTCCTATTGAATATTTCAGACAATGTTATTAGTGTTAAGTCTAAGTCAAGACCACGAGAATATCAGAATACAGAAGAACATGAACCGTTTCGGCAGGAGGAAGATAGTTTTACCTCAGAATCAGTGGAAGAAACAAAGTCTTCATTTTAAAGACAAGCCTACATAGATTTCTATCTTATTTCTATATATCAGTGATAAACTGTATAGCTGTATATAAAGGAATGATTGTCAAGCTTACTAGTTTTACTATACTTGTATATTATGTGTGGTAAAGGATAAGTTCAAAATATATTCTCTAACATTATAACATCAAATGCATATTTCAAAACATAGACTAGAAAAGGATGAGATTGCTGAAAGAAAGTGGAATTTGACTTTCATCTTTTGGAGATTTCAGTGACATTGATCAATCTGTTTGTTTTCTTTTTTAATGTTTCATGTTTTTTATGCACATGACTCCACTTGCCCTCCATGATCTGACAAAATTGTTATGCATAGTTCTTGTTCTAGTGGGTCATGATGTAAAAGAATTTATAAATAAATGAGAGGAGTTTACCACTTACCACTTTAAAAGGGACAGATGCACTATTTGACCATTCATACCTTAGTCTCAGAAACAGAAAGGTTTTAGCTAAGCCAATCGGTATAGTGTATAATTTTCAAACACTACCATATAGAAAAGACATCTATAGAAATAAGAAAAGAAATTCCTATCTTGAGGTATTTTTTAAGGAATTGTACAATTTTCGTACATTTCTAGTACTTCTGAAGACTATTTACATATTATATTCAAGACTCAAATCAACCTCCTAAAATTGTGCATCTGTCCCTTTAACAATGGTTTTAATTTGTCATAACATGAATTCTTACAACTTATATGATATATTTCGTTAGATCATGTAATAAAAAATCTGTATTTTAGGTAGATTTTGATATTGAGCTCTATGTAGTAGGCCTATTAACAAACCGCAAAACAAAACCTGAAATCCAAAAGAAAATATCGGCAAAAGCAACTTTTCATATGAGGAAGTATATCAATCATTTCAAGTATTTCATTATAAAAATTGGTAGGCCTATCAGGTGTCTAGAAGAGTAAGCATACCCTGCTATTGCTGCGATTGACACAACCTTGTGTCCTGTCATCTCAAATTTTTGTATGATTTGAATCTGCCAGTTCCTCATTTCTATGTAACATTTTTGTAAATCGTGAAATGGATTAAGCCATTAATTCATCATTTATAGTATTTTAGTAATTTAGTATTAAAAACATTGAAAATTCTGAATGGACTCACTCATATTTATTTACATTATATTTGTTTATTTTAGCCATTTTGTTTTGGATTTTGAAACAACAAGAAAAAGAGTTGTGATTTTGTTATATGTTTTACGCTCTAAGAAGGTGTATAGAACACAATTGTGAATATGTCCAAGAACAAGGATATGGTTACCCCAACCACATTTCACATTTTCATGCTGTTTGGAGTCATGTCTTATACCTTGACTGCAATAGCCACCTTTCTTGTGTTACAAAAGTTCGTAGATTCAGCGATAGATGAATTATTATTTAGCAAATACAGAAAATCTGTTAACCATTCGACACTATGTCTTTTTGTCAAGTGATCTGATTGGCTGTATTTGATGGCATACAATCCAACCTAATCGCTGCATTAATTGATACAAACAAAAAAATGGCTATTGAAGTCCGGGTATAGACGCTGTTCGTAATAGCTTGTGATGATGCCCCACAGAAAGAGACATTTTTTTTTTATAATAAAAAATTAGATTAGCTTATTAGTTATGGAGATTGAGTGTTTTGTTCTGTTAGATTTAATATTGAATAAATGATGTAAATTTACATGTTTGTCATGGGGTCTGCGATATCTAATACTTCTGAACTTGTAACACTCATTTGTAACACTCATTTCCAACACCACGGTACCTGCCCTAATGAGGATTGTGTATCAGAAAACTATCAGAAATGAACTTACATAGGTCAACACTTTATTATACATCATTGTATCAAATGTGTTGAAATTTATGTAAATGTTCGCCATCCCTTTTACCAATTGTACCTTAGTCTCAGAAACAGATATTTTTTTAGCCAAGCTAAGCAGTAATAGTGTGAAAATTGATCCATGTGTATCCAGAATCATTGGCGTTTTAAAGTTAACAAGACGTCGTCTTTTCTTGAGACCTTTGTAAGTAAAAAAAAACAATATATAAAAATAGAAAGAGAAATTCCTAATTTGAAGTATATTTGAAGGGATTTTGAGATTTTTGCACATTTCTATAGTTCTGAAGAATTTAATTCAACCCCCAAAAATGAAGAACCTATCTCCTTAAAACAAATATCAACAAATATCGATGCACTGAGATTTATGATAATTTGGTCCTAATTTTAGCTGAATTTAGTGTGATATTCAAAAAAAATTGGACTTCAAATTATAAATATATGTTGAAATGCATTAAGGACATGCCAGAATGGACGAATATGTCAGAAGTTGTAAGAACGGTAAGCTATGTAAGTATCTATCTATAATAATTGACTAGTTTATCTATAACGTGCGCTTCTTATATGCCGTTGAAGGATTACTGTTAAAATAGTTCACAACAGGTCTACATCAATTGTTGAGTGATGCAGAATATAGAAATATTAAAACAGAACCTGAAACATCTTTTAACATTAGAAGCAGGGAAAAATAGAATTTAATTATCAAAACACTACACCTCAACATACATTTCATATACATGTTATAATAATATTAGATTTTTATTATTGTTCAGCATCGGGTCCCTGCGATTTTAGAATGTTCCGAAATGACACGTAGTCCGAGCTGGCGTATGGACGAATTGACATATTAATTTCAACCAATCATAACTAAACAACGTGTTTGCTCCGTGAAAGAGTCTTCTCGGTGAATAAACAGAAGTTACGGTGGTGCTGATTGTTTCATTGATTATTGTCGCATTTTTCACCTCAATATTTTGATTTCAATTTTAACAAAACATACACACCTTATTTGTGGACTAAGGTTAACATCGATCTCATATAGCAGCACCATATCTACTATAGTTTACGATTAAATGTGTTTTTAACAAGTCGAAAAGGTTGGTACACATTGTTCAATAAGATTTGATTAGATCAGTGTTCTAAGTCTTAAGTCTAAAGTTAGGCTTGATTTTAGATTGAATTTGTGAAGATTCGATTCGTTTAAACAGAACTTTGATCATTGTGACCGAGAAAAAAAAAATCAAACTATACAGTATGTAATGGATGGTATTTAGGACTAGGATGTCTGGAGAGGCCTCTCTGACTACATTGTTTTCTGAACTGAATGTTGGCAATCATTTTCTTATGAACTGAAATATCAATTACAAAATACTACTGAGAGTCTTGGATTGCCTTTGGATTGATTAAAATATTAACCATCTTATTACATGTATTTGTAAAAAATCATTTTACAGAGGGGAATTTTTGGTCTGAAAAGTAATTCATTTTCTGGGAGGGAAGTGTAAAAAACAATCTTAAAAAATATTGCGATACATACCCATATCTACATACCCATATCGTGATATATTAATGCTTAATATCGTGATATCAACTTGAACCAATATTGTCCTAGATTGAGGTAGGACTGGCCCTGTAACTAGGTATGAAGTGGACCAATTTGAAACAGTTGTCTTAGTAAATAACTTGTTTTCATTTTCAGTTAACAATTAAAAAATGTCTACAAGAAGAACATCATCTGTGGGGTCTGCATCAAATCATAAAGACTGGAGGCTTGATTGTAAAGTTTATGTTGGAGATTTAGGATATGGTGCAGCAAAGCAGGAATTAGAAGATGCCTTTTCCAAACATGGCCAGTTGAAAAATGTATGGATAGCTAGACGTCCACCGGGATTTGCCTTTATTGAATTTGTTGATCCATTAGATGCTGAAGATGCCACTAGAGCTTTAGATGGAACGTGAGTATTGTTTTTATTAGAAAAAAAATTTTCCTATACTAACGAACACACATTATTTGATACTGTACTAAATTCATATACCTTTAAGAATATAGTGATATACCATAATATACACCATAAATGCATAATAATGTTATTACTATATAGTAATGCAGTGGGACAAAGTTAATAAGGATCTCACTTATTGTATCTAACCTTAATATATTTTCAATATGTTTAAGATCCAAACATTATAATCTTTCCTGTAATACAGCTGATATGATATCTGCTTATAAATTAATGAATAATGCAACTCACTGAAAGTTTATCTATTGAAAAAAGAATCAAAATTTGCTGAATGGATCAAGAAATATGATATAATAGTATTAAGTTGTAAATGGAAATTGTTGGTGCCCTACATATTTATCACTTTTATGAAAATACCGGTTGCTTGAGCAGAAATTCAAATATCCTTCTTATTATACAAAAGGATAGCAAATCTGCACTAGTGTAGAAATGGTGATTGATTAACCATTTATTAGTAGAAAGTTGAAAGAGAGCTTTTTTGAGAGCTTATGGATATTCATGATTACTAAATGTACAGATTTATAATGATTCCACTAAATACTGTAAATTGACCCATCAAAAAATTCAATAAAATCACTAACCGTTTCAACACTAACGGTATTGATCATATCAATCAAATTCCATAAATCTACTTGAAGTAGATACATGTTGACATTTGTAAACTTGTGTTCAGGTAATCAATAACCAAGAAAGAAAAAATTGAAACTTTATTGGGTTAGTCACCTCTGATAAATCCCATACAATTGAGATCTTAAGGTGGCAACAACCTATTGACATTTAAATCCAATAATTGACTTTAAATTTGTGTAGGTCTTAAACCAATTGGCAGTTTCACCTACAAGTGAAGTGAAGATTTAGATATTGACGTTTACTTAATAATTTATTAAAGTGTACTCTCTCTTAAAATGAACGTAAAATTAGTATTCTCAAACTTTGCCAATTTGACGCAGCACTTACCAGGTACCTAACTAAACAATTGAATCCCTTTATATTCCAATAAACTAAGTAATCATCCATAAAAGTAGAAGTAATTATTGAAAAATAATGAAAATTTTTAAAGCATTTCGCTCTACAATTGATATATTGAGCACTATTTTAATTCTTTAGTCTCAGAAACGGGAATTTTTTAGCTATGGCCAGTCAGTAATAGTGCTCAGAATTAACCATGTTTGACTCATCATTTTAAGATACTCTGTGGTATATAGAAAAGACAGATATGGCAAAATGGCATCCATCCCTTTAACAATGAAATATTTTGTTATTGTATAATATATTTATAGTCTTATAGTGTTGAAATTATTGCATTTTTATGCACATTAGTTTCTGTTGGGAAACAATGTCATGTATATATAGTATAGTTTGTTTACTTAACTTTTTCAATATTCCAACTGATGTTGATATTGTTCATGTTATAATATATCATTGTGTCAATTATTAATTGATTAGATAGAATTGTAACAGCTTTTCAAGTAATTTGATATAAAGTGTTCTCAATAAGACTTTATTGTTTCAAATAAACAGTTCTTTTATGTGGAGAACATATGGTGTTGGTCAATATTCACTTTACTTACATTATTCTTTTCAAAGTATAGAAGCTTTGTTATTATGTCGGGATTATTGTCTTTTCAATTGAGTGCTCAGCCCAAATGAAAATTTATATTCATGAAATGTATTCAGCTTGATCTTAAGAGAATCTTAATAATGCTAAATCGAAAATTTTCATTCATTTAAAACATAGAATGTCTTCAACAAGATACATACTTATACAATCTTCACAATGTCAAGATATTATGAACTTTGTCTTATAGTTACTTTGCTTGTATCAGCTGTATTTGCTATTTACAAATAAAAACATTCACATACTTCCACGATGCAAGCAAAGTGGCTATTGCAGTCAAGGTATAATTACAAAGGTTGTAATAGTTTGACATTGTGAAGATGTACAGGTACTTATACAAGAAAAAGATCTTTTAATCTTTTATTGGGAACATTATTGTTTACAATGAAGTAATGATCCTGGTTATTTTTTAAATTAAACTAACTTTTTCATTAACAGTAATTTTATTTTACTGGTTTCAATTCTTCCTTAATTACAGTATGGTACATCTCAATATTGTTTGCATTGTAGATACCCTTTATCTTTCCTACTTTTTTTTCTTAATATATTTGTATATTATATACTAACTTCCAGTTTCCTTCAATGTTTGCACAATTAGGAACATAGTTTCAGACTAGTACCAATTTAATCAACTGAAAGTGGCAAGAACCACAAATGCAAGTTACCATCAAGAACAAGAACTCACCAACATCTATAAATCAACTGGAATTCTGAAAAGCTTTGATGTCTTGTTTCCAAAGTCAACAATTCCATCATCTACTTAAACAATTATATCAACAGCTTATTATCCTCATGTTTGCTGAGTTATTTAATCAACAGCTTGTTGTTTCACTAACAATTCCATCAACAATCTTATACTAATTGCATTTACAGTTAACAAACCTTATTGATGAATAACTCCAGCAACTGGTTATTATTTTAATCAACTTACATTTCCATGGATGCTTGATTATTTTTATAGCTAATAATTCTTCATCACTCTTGATGTTAACAATTCCATCAATGGTAGTCATAGTGGAGGATGTAAAGAGCAGAATTTACTCTTAAATATTAACAGGATAGTTAAGATAAGACTCCATTTTTTAAATATTAACAGGAGAATGAATGGAAGAAAGGTTAGAGTTGAGATGTCATCAGGAAAGTCTAGATGGGGCAGTGGAGGTCCTCCAAAAAGAGGATCATATTATGGTGGTGGAAGAGACGAACCATACCACCGACCACGTAGGGGAAGATCCAGGTAAGACTTGGTCCATGACCTAGAAATTGTGTGGTATTATAGATAGCAAAAAAGGGCTGGAATTGTGTTGTGTAAATAAGCAGGAAACTTCTTTATGTTGACTTGATATTTGCATCACGTGTTGTAGAATACGTATGTCACATTATTGAAGTACCCTACTTCATAATGTCAAATAATAATGATATATATGTGTTTTTGTTTGTATACTTTGGTGATAATGCTCCTTTAAATTTCTTTTCACCAACGTATAGGATACCGTCTCAGGGATGTGTACCCATCACTGTTTGCATCTGTACTTGACGCTGCAAATTCTGTCAACATTAGTGTCTCCACTTCTCTCAAATCAACTGCATCAAAAATACATCTTGATGTCGTCTTTAACTTCAACTGGCAGCGTCATCTGACAGCTCAACTTTGTCAGCGTAGTCCTTCTACTAATTGTCAACGTCGGCCGCAAACAAAACGTTTTCAACTTTTGAAACCATTTTCAACGTCACCTTCACCAGATATCAACCTTCTCAGCAAAAAAAAATCCACCTTCATCGATCATCGTTAATCAACATTTCACAACCCTTCGTCCATCCCAACTCTAGATAATAAAAACGGGTAAAGGGTTTTGTTAGGGTTTAAAAATATCAGTGATATACTCCAAGACTGAGGTCAAAGTGAATTGCTCAATTGTCACTTGCAATTTCTATTTTTTAAAAGTATTTAATATGGTTGGAAAGCTACAGAATTTTGCTCCTCACAGTCTCTCAAAAATAAGTAAAAATCAAATGTTCGTAAAAAAAACAGAATAAATCGATGTATTCTTATGGATAAAAAGTCAAAACTTTTGCTTTCACCCTTAATTTAATTAGGCAATTTATTCTTATACATGACAATTACCAATCTCAGTCTTGGAAGTTCTTAACAAATTAGTTCAGTCCCAAATAAAGTGTTTCTTTGCACAGCTTAACTTCCATTTGGTAGAAATTTCAGATTGAATCTTGTTTGGGTAAAATATTACTGTTTTTTAGGAATCTGATATTGCAGATACAGAAATTGCATACACCAAAAATTTGGTTAAAAGCATCTATTTTGAACCAAACAATTTTCAGTCTGAAGTAGTTTAGTAGTAGTATTTGTAGTAATTTAATAGTAGATTCACTTCTGTTCCCTTGTTCTCACATTGTAATACAGATAGAATTGGCAAAGTTTATTCTCAATAGGCAAGATGTCTGCCTTTGATATCTATGCCTAAATTCCTAAATCTCCATGTGGGATAACATTTTTTAATATTGGTTGCAACATGCACTCTGACAGTGAAGAATTATGAGTGTTGCCTGGTATTGTCAAAAACTTCGCATTACATCTTTCAGTTGAGAATAGACTTGGCTTAGAGTTGTTGGTGTAACAGAAGGTCCTTAACTTGAAAAATCATATTTGCAATGGGTCTGATATTGGTTGTCCATATTTTCAGGTCCTATTCTCCTCCAAGAAGAGGAAGATCCAGGTCAAGGAGCCGGTCTGAAACTCCCCCAAGGCGACGATCCCGAAGCAGGTAAACAAAAGTTAAAATTCAAAATAATCAACTCTTTAAAACCTACATGGTTCATCATGATATTTGTCAATTTAATTTCAGGTTCATCTTCACATTGTCAAGCTATTACAAGCTTTGTCTTATACCTTGACTGCAATAGCCGCCATCATTGTATCACAGAAAACAGTGATTTGATTGGATAGTATGCCAGCTAATCAGAGCCCATGACAGAAGACTGTAATTATTATGGCTTATTGTTTACAGATTTTCCGTCAAGGTCTCTGATTAGCTGCATAATATACGCTAGCATACAATCCAATCAAATAGCTGCATTAACAAACTTCTTTGATACAAGAAAGGTGGCTTAAAACAAAGTTTGTAATACCTTGACAGTGTGAAGATTAAGTTCATCATGTTTCATTGTTATTTGATCAAAGAAATATCACAATCTTTTGATAATACTGTTGTCTATGCTCAGCATATCTAAATCACTCAACACTAAATGAAATATGTTTAAAATAAGCAAGACATTCTGACCTGAAAGAAACTGTGAAATTTAGATCTCCCCCTTTCATGATATTTAGTGGTCATTCTTTGATCTATGTCTGTCTTGTATGTATTGTCAATGTGATGTGTTTTGTATGTATGTTCCTTTAAAACCATATGCAGACAGTAGATCTATTGAAAATGAAAAACATTGGATTTTCTTTGTGGGTGTGGCATCCTGAAATTAACATTGTTTTGCAAACAAAAGTCCAAAATTGCAGTCAAAAAGGTTGACTGACTTGAATTGAAAATTTATTGTTTCCAATACAGTCAATGCCAAGTCAATTTTGAACTATCATAAATATTATGATGGTGTTATTTCAATTTGGATAAAGTTCATTGGATTTACCAACTGTAGTCAGACTTATAATCAATCATTTTCACAATGTCAAACTATTATGAACTTGTTATACCTTGACTACAATAGCCACCTTGTTTGTATCAAGAATTTGATTTGATTGTATGCCAGCAAATACAGCCAATCAGAGCCTTGACAGAAAGACAAGTGTTTTCAAACTTACCGTGGAGTCCTCTGATTGTCTTTATTCATTAGCATAAACAGCATTTACAAACATCTATGACATGAGAAAGGTGGCTGTAGATGTCAAGGTATAAGACAAGTTTCGTAATAGCTTGGCATTGTAAAAATGTTCATCAATATGAAATTGCTTAAATTAGTCAAATACTTATTGTCTCATTTGTAGAAGTTATTCAGAGGAAAGGTTTGTCCTGCTTGATAATATCAGTTCAGAATCCGAGTCCAATTAAATATATTTTCACCACTGAACCAATTTTATATAGTCTAATTAGTTTAAAGGTGTTAAGTTAGTTTCCATTTGGCAAAGGTTTCATATCATTTTTATAGTCCACATGGAATGTGGAGCATATATTGGCGGAAACCATGCCTGTCTGTCTCTCTGTCCGTCCACAATCGCCACTAAACACTCTAGGTGGCATAGTTAGTTCTTCACAGACTTTAACCTAACTTGGTGAAATTGTTTTTTATTCCCTTAGAATGAACCCTATTGTAAATAAAATATATTCGAAAAAACATTTAATATGTTCTGGAAAATGATTCTTGCCTGATTTTGACAAAGCATGGTAATATTGTTCGTTATTACCCCTAGGTTGAATATTTCATACTGCCAAAATTCTTCTTTGAAATCAAAGCTGCTAGTGGACATATATAAGTTTTCCTGGGAAGCTATCCTTTTTTTTATATTTGTAAATGGGTGTATATTCTGATTCTTTACCTGTCTGTCTCTTTTGTTTATGGTTGAGAAAGATGGTTGATTTATTTTTGATTATTGATTCTTTAGTTATTATCCTTGATTTACCTATGGTGTCAGTCTAGATCCAGTTTTTGAATCAGATTTTTTTTGTGTGAAAGCACTGAATAGAAGCCGGATAAACCATAAAGATAAATAATGATTCCACTGCTGTTATGAAGGACCCTACTGTACCAAATCTTAACCTTTGTAGTTTATACCTGTTTCCCTTTTTCAAAGCAGGCACCAATAGTTAGTTTAAAACTATATTTTTATTTCTGTGAATCTTTCATGTTACATGGAAAGCTGGTTTGAAAATTTTCGCTTAATTTTCTACCAGTACTTTTGTCTTGAAAGCAAAACGAGTAATACTACGTCTTAGAATGAACATAAAATTTTAAGTTCTCAAGAATGGTCAATATGAGTATATATTCATCAGTGAACAGAATCCATGTAAAATCTGGAAAATTGGAAAATTCATAAACTAAGTATACAGTTTTACAATAGTTAATTTCATATTTATGGATAATTACTAAGTATTTTAGATTTATCAGATTATATAAGGATCCTGTTATGTTATTTATGACAAGAGGTATATCTACTGATGAATATATGCTCTTATTATATATAGACACAGCTTTATGGAACAATGCAATGTGTTTCCCCTGTCGTCCTCAGACACACATCAAAACGTTGCATAAAACAGTGATTCCACAAAACTGTGTCTATATATCGTACTCACAATTGCTAAATGCCATTCAAAGATTATTGCTCTTATTGGCCAAGTTTAAAATTCTTAAATTTTATGTTCATTCTAAGACGTAATATTTCTTTAAATAAATATAAGTGTTTTTGTCTGGAATATATGTAAATTTAATTGATAATGTCTGGAAATGTCATTGATTTGTATGTATTAAGTTACATAAATATTTTAAGCCATTAAAAATAACAATGTAAGTTAGGAAATGTGTTCCAATTAGGTCTACTTTTACAAACACATACAAAATAAATTAACGATTTTTTTCGACTTTGGAATTTTGACTTTATATGGATTTAGTAATTTGATGTTATTTTATTTTCACTTGCTCAGGAGGAAAATGATAGAATATTATGATAGAATGAAATGGTAATAATGATTTATTCTCAGTCATATATTTCATATTAGTCTTCCAAATCTTTGTGGCAAAACAGAGTCAAAGAAATGAAAGCTCATAATACACTTAGTACCACATCTTCGCAATGTCAAGCTATTACAAACTGTGTCTAATACCTTGACTTCAATAGTATACTTTCTTTTATCACAGAATGCAGAGATCGGATTGGATCGTACTCTAGTGCTAACAGCCAATCAGACATAAGGACTTCATGTCTTATGGTTTACAGACATCCTGTCAAGTGCACTGATTGGTTTTATTCAGTAGTGTACAATCCAATCAAATTGTTGTGTTTATGATACTGTGACACAAAAAAGATGGCTATTGCAATCAAGGTATAAGACAATGTGAAGATGATGGTAGCAATGATATAAGCTGTTATGTCTTTTTTGGTTGAGGGGAAGTCATCTAAATATTCAAACAGACATTTGCTTTCCTTACTACTCAATCAGAATAGACAATGGAAGTTCAAATTGTTACCACTTCCAGGATCATAAGAGTTGTCTTTTAATGT